AGAAGTTTATCGCGATGCTAGTCTGTGATTTGTGTGAGTGATGTCATGCAATTACAGGGTATTGTCTAGCTGAGCATTTTGCAGCACTTTAATTTGTTGCTGCTGCGGCCGTATGCGGGAGGACGTGGCAATTGCCACGACGACAGCGACGACGTTGACGGAAATGAAAAGATAATTTACCCGCATGTTTCAACATCAGCATGCCATGCCACGCCCACGCCAACGCACACGCACAGGCACAGGCGAAGGCAGAGCGCCGTGAGCGGATGGGATATCCATGAAGATGAAGCTGACTCCCATGTAGGCGGGGATTGGGTCATCATCGTGCCGCTAATGCTAATGCTGGTTATCTGTCTATCCATCAGCTGGCCATGTTATGATGTAAATGCCGAGCCACTCGACTGCTGCCACTGATGATAATGGCCACCACAATCCGCCGGCTGTGACTCCAGCTCCACCACCGACACCGACACCGACTCCAGCTCCGAGTCCGGCCATGACTTTGGCTCCGGCTGCAGCTCTGGCTGCGACTCCTGTTCGAGGCAAATATGTCGCTGCCCGTCTTGTCATTGGGCTTTGCAGCCGGCAGACGAAGCTGCCAAACATTTAGTCTGTCTGCGGCGCACACACACACTCGCACACACACTCGCACACACACACGCACACATGCTCAGTCACAAATTTATTGTTCTTAAACATCTGAGCATGAATGAATGACTGTGCCAGCTAACTGGAACTTGCGTCTGGCCATTGGTATTGCTATCGGGAGTGGGTATCGGGCACTGCGGCTGGAGCCCGGCGCTGGTTATATTTGAATGCCAAGTTGCCAGTTGTCACAAAGTGAGTGAAATATAGCCAAAATGTCAAATGTCAGCGAAAGACATTATTACTGGCTAGTTGATCCGACGTCTCCGTCGCCGTCGTCGTCGTCGTCGTCGTCGCCGTAAACTCCAACTGGTGCTTCTGCTTGTTGCCTGCCTTCTTGTCATACGCCTCATCCTGGTACGGATTGTCTTCGTCTGCAACGGCGCAGATAATCGATACGCACACGCATTGCATGCCCTCTCCCTCTCTCTCCGTGCCCTCTCTCTCTCTCTCTCTCGCTCTTTCACTCTGGGTGTGTGAGACTGAAAACCGAGACCATGTCAGCCCATCAGCCAACATCATCAAGCGTGTGTTGCTCCTGCTGCTACTCCTGCTACTGCTGTCTGCTTTGTACGGGACTTTAAAAACTTCAGCTTGAACTTCAACAGCCTTGGCTTTTAATTTGCTCATCAGGCTCGAGTGAAAAAACTAATTTAAGCTTACAGCAAAAATTCATTAAATAGCGTTTGATGTATTACAAAATAAAACCAATCAATTATTTATTGAAATTAAAATTTTTTAAATTATACAAGTTCGTGTCGGATAAAAAAGCTTTAAGTAGGATTTTAAATTCCAAACACTTTGCATTCTGCTGCTACACGAACTATGCTCATAAGGTAAAACAAGCTTAAATGGAGCTTTAACTTAGAGATTGTTTTACAGGATTTATCTATGAGATTGCTTTACATATACTTCCAAGTGCTCTTTGCAGCTTTTGAGTTGTTGCCGTGTGTGATACATTGCGCTCATCCTAGCTTTCACAGAGCTTCGCTTCCTCGAATGGGATTTTTTATGTTATTTATTGGAATTAAATATTTGAAATTATTTAAGAAATTATGTTTTATTCTAATTAAAAATTGATAATTCAGTTTGAAATAGCTTTCAGAATTCCTTTTGCTGCTGTATTAACTGTTCTTCTAAGATAAAAAGCTTTAACTCATAGATAGCTTTATATAAGTAAGCTATAAAATTGACGTATAACGAAGCTGCATCGTATCTCGCATCTATTTGGATACTGCAATTACATTGTATGCACTTAAACGAGTTGAAGTGTTAACAAAGCTTTTTCATCATGCATGAGCTCGCAAAGCTACATCTCAAGCTGTTGAATGCTTCAACTCCAAACTGAGCTTTTTGCTCATTTGAGCTTGGCACAGCTTTCATGTGCTTTTCGAATCGAGCCGAAGGCTTTGCAGCTAATGTCATTTGTTAACGGGAACTAAAGCCGCAGCTCTAATTTTAAAAAATGTTTGTTAACCTCATTCACACACACCAGTCAACACACACATTCAAAGAATAGAAAAAGTGAAATTTTCGTAATAGCTTTAAGCGAGTAGCAGGGGGCGGGCATCCACACGAAATGGAGAGTCTGCGCAGAACCGAGGTACGCGAATACTTCGTGGGCGACTACAAGCTGCTGGACCAGTTCGACAAGGGCTGCTTCGGCGACGTCTACATGGGCAAGTCGCTATACACCGGCGAGCGTGTGGCGATCAAGCTGGAGAAGAAGCGCACGGCGCATCCGCAGCTGGCGTACGAGTATCGCGTGTACAAGACAATGCGTCCGGCTTTGGGACTACCGCGCGTCCACTACTATGGCGAGGAGGATGACTATAACGCCCTGGTCATGGATCTGCTGGGTCCGTCGCTCTACTATTTGTTCGAGTTCTGCGGGCATGCGTTCACCATGAAGACCGTGCTGATGCTGGCGGACGAGCTCCTGTTGCGCCTGGAGCAGGTGCACGGCCGGGGCTTTGTGCATCGGGACATCAAGCCGGAGAACTTGTGTATCGGCCATGATCTCACGTGCAAGTTCGTGCATCTGATCGACTTTGGGCTGTCCAAGAAGTACTGGGATCCCATTTCCAATGTGCACATACCCTACCGGGAGGACTGCAGCCTGACGGGCACGGCGCGCTTTGCGTCCATCAACGCCCACGAGGGCATCGAGCAATCGCGTCGCGATGATCTTGTCTCCGTGGGATATCTGCTCATCTATTTCCTGAGCGGCAGCCTGCCCTGGCAGAACCTGCCGGCCCCTACAAAGGAGAAGAAATATGAGGCCATCTACGAGATGAAGCGCTCCTTGAGCAGCGAGCAGCTCTGCAGTGACTATCCCAACGAGTTTGCCATGTACATGAACTACTGCTACAAGCTAGGCTTCACCACCAAGCCGGACTACGCCATGCTGCGCAAGAGGTTCCGCGGGCTGTTCAACAAGCTGTACTATAAAAGGGACCTGATCTACGACTGGGAGAAACTCAGTTTAGAGTTTCATCGTGATCAGAAAAATCCTGGCGTAGGCAGCAGATATGCTCCCGGCAAATATCTTCCGGATGATGGACGCAGTGGCTATCCAATCATACGCAACGATAAGGCAAGATCCTGGAGTTAGCCACTTGCAAAATGTCGGAATTACAGACTAGTTCCACATGATCGAAATTAGAGTATGGTTGCAGGAATATCCATGATGAATGAGCCCAAATCGTAAATCTATTGCAAACTATACGATGCCCGTTTTCATAATAGTTAAATGTTTCCCAAAGTATTCAAGCTCAGCAAACTAGTTCCAAGTGTATTACAATATTAAACTACGTATTACCAATAAACAGATAATAATAAGCTATATGAACTAGTGCCAATGGTGAATGATTTATCACTAAGTTGTGTAACCTCCAGATGCGCGACATATGTAGATGTAATATGCTAGGTGAACTAGTTCCAATAGCAATTTCGAGTTACCAATAGATGGAGTCAGCGCCAGGCTGAACTAGTTCCGGTGGTAATCGACCAAACAGAAACCAGCTTTATATACCATTGAATAGGTATAATAATACGCTAAGTAAACTAGTTCCAAATGAATTACCAATAAACTGAGAGCTAGGCTAAATGAACTAGTTCTTAACGTAATAAAAAAAAAAAAAAAAAAAAAAAAAAAAAAAGCTATGAGCTTTAGATACCCTTAAATAGATACTCTAAGTGAACTAGTTCCAATTACAAAGGCGTTGCCCATAAACTGAGTGAGCTTCGAACACACCAGAAATCATCTCAGCGTAAGAGGGAATACTATATAAATAATTCATGTTGGTTTCGCGAAAAACAAATATAATTTTAGTAAGCTTTGAAACTTTATTACATTTGTTTTATTTTATTTTGTTTTTATTTTTCTGTATTTTTTTTTATTGAATAATATGAGAAAATTACATTTCCGCTTTTTTTCTAGTTATCTAAAGAAAACAATTTCGAATTGGGCAACAATATCGAAAATAAGAAAAAGTTGGCCAACATTTCTTCGCAAAACCTCTTGAGAAATTCGGTGTAGGAGAACTAGAAGTGCTTAGCAGGCAAGCGAACTGCATTCACCTGAATTCATTGTACCTGGAGCAACAAGCCGCAACAGAAATCCCCGCCCCTTCACACCCACTTGAGCTCTGGATGGGCGTATGGGAGAGATAGAAAGAAATCAAAAACACAATCAGATGTTGCCATAGTTGCAGCACACTCAACAAACAGATAGATATATATAGAGAGAGATTGTGAGAAGGAGAGCGGGAGAGAGAGAGAGAGTGTGTAAGGGAGACAATGAATGCCTGAGGGGCGTTGGTGGAATGGACAGCATCAACAGCCACGCTTCAGCGGCGACAGCTAATAAAAATTGTCCAGTTTTTCCAATTTGAGAGATGCCAACGCCAACCGTCCCCCTCTCAAGAGAGAGGGAGAGAGAGAGAGAGAGAGAGAGTGGGGAAACGGCAAATAGAGCAATTTAAATTGGAACGTGATTATGCAAACGTTTGCGCAGCTTAACTCAAGTGTCGCTCCGTGCCGCTTGGCCAGTTGCCGCTGCTCCACACACACACACACACATGCACAGAGGCTATAGGGTCATGCATTACAAGACTTGAATCAATCGTTAAGGGCATGTGTGCAACAAATCCAAAGAAAGAGCTACTACACACACACACACACACACACACACGCAGAGTGAAAGAGAGGGGAGAGTGAGAGAAAGAAAACGGTGCAAAGTGTGGGCATAGCATTTGAGTTGACCATTAAGCAGGCTGAAAGCATTCAAAGCCCTTGAGTGCCCAGCAGCCAACAAGAAGCGAAGCCGAAGCCATCAGCTACGACCTGAGACTCTACTGCAGCCAGTCCAGCAGGCGCCGCAGCCTGCGCCCGGCCAGGCACTCCAGCAGCAGCAGCAGCCCGGCCAGGGCCATCAGCGTCGCGTAGCAGCGGTAGAGGCCGTGCAGCATGTCGTTGGTGATGCGTGTGACCAGCTCCACGTTGCTGCCGACGTCGCCCAGCTGCGGCGTGGACAGATAGCGGCGCTCGATGTGCGCGAGGACGCCCGAGCTGAGCAGCTGCTCGATCTTGCGGTCGATGCTGAACTTGAGAATCGTGCTGTTCGGAAAGTAGATGACCAGCTGGTACAGGTAGATGGGCTTGCGGATGTGGGTGAGCCGGCTGCTGCGCCGGTGCTGGCGCTGCCAGTGCGCCAGATTGTTGTCCAGCGAGATGGTGACCAGGCGCGAGCCCCGCTGCGCCTGCTGCAGCAGCCGGTAGCGCTGCGAGAAGTTGCCCTCCGTCAGCTGGGTGAGCTGGCGCGGATAGAAGTCGTGGTAGCCGCTGCTAAGCAGCGTGTAGTTCTGGCGCAGCAGCCCGGTCAGGCCCTGCGGCAGCGGCTGCTGCTTGGGTATGCGCAGCACGTCGAACAGCTTGGCCTGGTACGCGCAGCGCAGCACGAGCGTCAGCAGCAGCCAGTTGGCCAGCAGGTGGCGCAGGAAGCTGCTCTGCGGCACACGGTGCATGGGCACCGGATTGCCCGTGGTTGAGGCCAGCAGGTTCTCGACTGGATGCTGCAGTCGCAGCCGTCGGCCCAGGCAGCGCACACAGATCAGCGCCGCGAGCAGCGTGGCCAGCAGGCAGAGCCAGACGACCGACTCAAAGGGACGTATCAGCTGGCCGAAGGGTCCCAGGTAGCGCTCCGACCTCACCACAAAGATGAAGTAGCTCTGGTGATACACGGACGAGGTGGAGAACATGTGGCGCCGTATGTCCGAGCCGCTGAAGCCGCCAATGGCCAGCTCTGCCTCGCCAGCTGCCAGCTGAGTGGGGGAGAACGAAAACGAAAAGTGATCTAGCTGAGCTGAATGATCCAATAATCCTCCTCTCACCTGTGCGAAGCAGCCGCTGAGGCTGTCAGTGCTAAAGATCTCGCTCTTCTCCATGGGTATCTTGAGGTGAACGCGGAATCGCAGCGCCGTGGCCAGCAGGCGGAGCAGCTCGCCGCCGATGCCATGCAAGTCGTGCATGTCAATCAGAGCACCGTCCGCGGGCAGAGCAGCGCCATCTGGCGCACGGTACATGAAGTGCGGCGGCAACACATGCCCCGTTACATTGAAGGCGCAATTGCTCAGATTGGCGAAGCGTACGGGAAACAGCTCCGGATGCACCAGACTGCCGTCCGACCGAAACTGATTGCTCCGGTAGGTGTGGATGCCCGGCGTGCAGTGCTCCCGGAACAATCTGTACGAATAGAGTCCGATCTGGTCATCGTCCGATCTGGTCATTGCCAGCACGACGACATTGATGATGCGCTTCAAGAGCGCCATATTACACATGCGACCCACTGAGCGGTGCAGTTCGCTTTCCGGCAAGCGAGCCATGAGAACAATTAGAAAGTAGAACTCACGTTCCTGCAGAGGGTGCGTATAGTTCAAATGGAGTTGCCTGGTAGATAGAGAGAGGAATGGAGAGGGAACGAGAAGGAGAGAGTAAAAAATCAAGTTAAGTAAAGTCAAAGAGAGAGAGAGAGAGAGAGAGAGAGAGAGTGAGAGATGGAGTCTAAGGTCAGAGCTAAGAGATGGAAGATGGGAGACAGAGATAGAGGGGTAACAAGAGGGAAAGACCTCTCTTAAAGAATAATAGAGAGTGGGAAAGAGAGCCTAAGATCATAGTTAGGTAAGCTAACAAGCGACACGGAGACAGAAAGGGTTATTAAAGAGAGAGAGAGAGAGAAAGAGAGCAAATTTATATGAAGTTGAGTCAAAGACAAAGAGAGAGGGTCTTAGAGACTAAGATCAAAGCAAATCCATGGAAGGTAAATTAGCATGAGAAAGGAGTCCTCGCTTTCTCTCTCTTTCTCTCTCTTTCTCTCTCTCTCTCTCTCTTTCTCTCTCTCTTGATCTCTCTCTCGTTCATGAGTTGGATAGAACATTCAGAGAGATAGACAAATGACAATCATTTCAATCGATCTACTCACTCAAAGGCCTCGGCCTCGTTGACCACGATGAGCGTATAGTCCCAGGGCTGCTGAATGTAGGCGGTTGGCCGATAGAAGAGGATGGACATGTGCAGGGCCAGCTTCTGGAGCAGCTGGTCAACTAGCTGTCGCTGCTGATGATCCACGAGTGCTGAGCAGTTGTGGCAATGCTGTCTCACCAGGAGCGTGTTGATCCTGGTGGCAATGTAGCGACTTGCCACATGCAGCGTGGCCTCGCCCAGCCGCTGCACATCCCGATCGACAGGCGGCAAGCCAAAGAGCTGTCCTGGCTGCAGGCCAAGGCAGAGGCAGCAGAGCAGCAAGAGGCCAACTGGCGGCCGCATGAGGACAGCGTTTCGGGCTGAATGGCAGACCAGGAGCCGCCGCAGGGCTCGGTAAAACTGGCAGGCGCTAATGTAATTGCTGCTGATTGCGCTGATACGCCCTAATGGAATTGTGCTGATAATTTTGACTAATTGGAGGCAATTGCACTTGATGCTCGCAACTTGGATTCGATTAACTTCGGCTCCGCTGGCTCAAATGGAATAATTAAAAATGCAGCTGGAAATGCGTTACGCTGGCTGCCTACGCTTACATAAGCCGATATGCTTGATTGGGTGAATCGAGTGTGCGGGGGAGTCAGCGGGTCGGTAGTGCTCGACTAGCAGATACCCTCAACTCTGCAAATATCATGTATACAATATTTGCCTATGTCATAGCCTAGGTCTTAGCTAGTTGAGAGACATCGGCATAGAGCGAGCTACCTAAGTATCGAATGTATCGATTTTTATCGATTAAAGGCAAGTGAGACGGATGCTCAAGTAAGACAAACTAATAGACTAGTATTGCAGTGGGATATAGAAAGATTCATAGCTTCTCTAAATACGTAAGAGGGCACTTAAAACTCTATGGACTCGGGGCAAAAATACGCTCAGAGTAAATTATATGGGCTTAAGGGTAATTCGCAAAGGCTAAAGCAAAGGCAAAGACAATTCGCAGTAATCGAATGAAGTTGCACATAAATGATTCAATCAAATTATGTCACAAAGTAAGGTTGGGAGCTTCACATTGAGGTTAGGTTGAATTTGAAATGTGAAATGTTTGAAAATATAGCAAATGCAGCTTTAAATTGAGTCAAGGCGACTCGAGCCTCTGCTTGGCTCCCTATCCCTCCCCCCTCCCCTCCTCTCTCTCTCCTCCTTTCTGTCTCTCAATTTTTTTCTCGTCTTACTGAAAATGCGGCCAAGTAGGCGGGGCAAAAGCAATAAGCGCCACAAAACGCGCACTCTTGGTAATTTAAGAAGCAGCACAGGGACAAAACTTGCAATGGCCAGGCCAGGAGTGAGCTGAGCCGAGCTGCTCTGGTCCGGGGCTGGCCTTTAGGTTCACTTGATGTTATTTTACAAGGACACGCGCACAATTTATAATAACGCCGAATGGCGACTGCCGACTGCCAGCTCGTCCTGGCTAGCGCAGCTAGCGGGCCGTGGACCACCGATTGACGCCTCACTGTGTGCGAGCGCCAATGTAAAGTACAGTAAAGTAAAGTAAAGTAAAGCCAAGGCGAGCGACTTGAGCTGTGCAGAAAGGACACGCACACACACACACACACACATATCTCTATTTGGTGTGTGTGTGTGTGTGTGTTTGCAAACGAGAAAAATGAAGCGAAACAATTCCAAGTAAGCAAACAAAACTGATGGAAGATAATCTACTTGAAGCATACTTTAAGGCGTATCTAATGGTCCTTTTAATGTTTAAACACGCTTTCGTCTGTCTTGTCCTTGGCGAATGCCCAGCCACCCAAGCCGCCCAGGCCCTCCCTCACCACGTCCATTCGGTGCCCCAGCCAAACCGAAACCAATGTCCCATGTTTATTTTATCCACATCATCAGCCCCGAGAACCGAGTCCTCACAATAGCCAGGCCAATGTCACGTTCTTTTTTCTTATTATCCTCTCTCTCTCTCCCTCTCTCTCTCTCTCTCTCTCTGCGTCTCACTCGTCTATGCGTCTTAGTTGCTTGCTATCTCTTTCTCTTTGTATTATTCACGTAGTTTAGTGTTGCGCTGCGGCTGCTTTCCTGTGTTTATTTTATCACAATAATTCCACATTTTTGCTTTTATGCATTTTTAATTTGAACAGCGCACAATCCTGTGGGCGCTGGCAACGGTGGGGGCGGTGGAGGGCGTGGCGCTCCAGCCTGTACATGCTTAGGCGGCTGGGTCGGGCTCAAGAGGTTATACCTGCGCGGAAAATATTAAATAATGAGTGTAAATATATAAATATATAAAGGAAAAATATCGATTACTGTATTCGATAGGACTCGAAGCTCTAAATGTATCGATAAATGCAGTGCGTAGAGATTATTTATGATTATTTGTCAACTAGTTTTAGTAACTAATGATCAGTAATGAATACGAACAATTATGATGTTGTTATCGATACTTCTCCGATTATCGATACAGTTTCGATTATGAAGAATACCGATAAATACGTAGATGTCGTTGGCGCCTTTGAAAGCATCATGAACATATTTAAAAATTGAAATTTTTATCTGTGATTGTAAATGTTGAAACATTTATCGATAACTGTTCTATGTATAGAAATTATTAATAAATGGAATAGACTATTCTTGTTTTAATGTTCAATTTAATCATAGTTATGGTTTACCTAGTATTGACAAGCTCTGAGCTATACACTGCCATTGAATCGATAGGCACTTTTAGTTTATCGATAACACTTTTACCTCAAAGAGCACTTATTCTACTATAGTACACCTATATTTATCTATACATATACTTATATACTTATTTAGCTTGCGCTCATTGATAGCAATTGTAGTGTGTAGAGTTGCCACCATGTTGCAATTGGCTGCAAATGGCTTGCGCTCGTCGCAAGCATCGGGCACTGCGGCTCATCCTGCAGCTCATCCTGCGGCTCATCCATGCGGCTCCGTCCATGCGGCTGTCGCTGGCTGCCATCGTTTTACGAAAAACGATTACGCACTAAGCCTATAACTTATGTTGATGTTTTCTTTTCGTCTTAACATTTGCAAATTTGTCATTTTTTTTTTTCTTTCTTCTCTCTGTGTACGTGTGTGTGTGTGTGTGTGTGTATGCGGGGGTGGGTGTGGGCTAAGTAGGTGGGGCTGATGGCTGCTTGCTTTAGCTAACCAATATTTTGCTTGTCCGTGTTCTTATGCCGGCTCAACATTTCTTTTCTTTTCGTTCTTATGAGGTATTTTGTTGTTCTTGTTGTTGTTGTAGTTGCTGTTGTTGCCTTAGCTTTCATTTTGGTCCTTCGTTACGCTGCTAATAGTATTGTCCTTGTGTGCGTGTATAGGTGTGTGTGTGTGAGTGTGGGAGCGTGTCTAAGTAGTCAACATTTTGTTGCGGCTTGGCCATTTTTAAGCACTGTTTGCCTATTTCAGCTGCCTTATCCACTGTGCCTCTAGTCTCCCATTGTATGTGCGAGTGTGTGTGTGTGTGTGTGTCTGTGTGTCTATGTGTGTGTGCTTGTATCATATTAAACTAATCCTAAATGGTTTCTTCACGGCACATTTGCTGGCACTTGTTGGCGGCCGCAAAGACCTTAGCTACCCACCTGGCCGCCAGCTACCCACCTGAATGCCAGCTACCCACCTGAATGCCAGCTACCCACCTGAATGCCAGCCTAAGCACATTTTACAGTCCGCAACGCATAGAGAAAATTAAAAATATATTGTATAAATATATATTTTAGCTATTTAAACATGTGTATATATGGATATACATTGCATTCAAAGCAACATAGCAAACCCTCCCCCTCTCCATCCCCCCCCTCTCTCTCACAGTCAGAGTCAGTAAAAGCCAAATGCGATTATAGAAATCACTTGAAGAGTTACGAGATTTCCAAAGCATGGCATTACCTGGTTTAGTATAACTGAGCGGCTCTGTTCGGCCAAATGCTATTCGAAAACTATCTGTGAATCATAAATAAAGTTTTATTGCATGCCTGCGGGCGCAAATGTGTGCGAATTGATGTATGTATTGTATGTATGTGCCAGGGCGAACAAGCCGCTTTTTATGCATCGATATCAAAGGGGGGAAAAAATGTATATACATACATACATACATATATAGAACTATCGATACGAAAGTTGTGCGTTTTTATGTGACACACTCAAATATTTATAAAGTTGTTTACTTTTAAGCTCAGTTCATAAATGAAGCATGAGCTTATATGAAGTTAGTAATTGTGAACCAGTTCATAGCTACGGAACCAGTTCATAGCTACGGAACCAGTTCAAGATCATAGATCTATTCATCAAGTTTTTGAGCATTTGTAATATTCAAAAATTAGTTCATCGGAACTAGTTCAAAACTCATGCGCTATAAAGAAAAACCTACCTTGCCTATCTGCCAAGTTTCACCAACTAATTCGTAAATATAAAAACCTTTTAGACTGCTACTCAACTAGCTCATTTGCCCAAACGCGAACTGGTTCAGTTCCACGCGGCATCAATCCAATCGAAACACATGCAACATGCACAACTGAATGAAATGAAATTGAAATCAATTTTTTAATTACGGAATACCAAAAAGATGAAAAAAAAAGAGTGGAATTTAAAATGTCAAACTGAAAGGGAAACGCAGGTGTGAGATAAATTCTCCTAATTTTTGATTGATTGCATTGAAATTGGTATTGAATGAGCGCCACTAATTGAACAACAAATTAAAATCAATCAATCGCTGCATCATACGCTAATGAGTCACACGCCGCCCAGATTCTCGAGTCCCGGCTTTTCCACCTGGCTGCAGGTGAGAGAACAAATTGACTTTGCCATGGAATTATGACAAAATTACATTTTGCAAATGCAATTGAAATGCAACCATTGACGATTGCACTGCCATTGTCTGTGTGAGTGTATGCGTGTGAGTGTGCGCGTGTGTATGTATGTGTGTGTATTTGTGCAGTGCTCATTTATAAAGTTATTCGTTAATAAATAGTTAACAATCAACGATAAATTGGCAATAATCGTGTGGCTCGCTGAATTGAACCAGAGAACGTTTTACAGGGGCGTAGATACCAAGAGGGATTACAAGTTGCTCCATATCACCAATACAGGGCGTTGAGGTATTAACAAATGCTACGAAATTATACATATCTATAAGTATGACTGATCTGTCGAGAGAGAGAGAGAGCTAAGTTGAGAGAGAGAAAGAAATCAAATGAGAGAGATAGGGACAGAGACAGAAAATGAGAGAGCGAGTGATATGGACAGATAAAGATAGAGGGAGCCAAGATAGAGAGATAGATAGAAAATGAAATAGATAGATAGTGAGAGAGAGAGAGAGAGATATT